GGGCTCAACGTTGCAGCTTTGACGACATCCTGCGTGTTCACATACGTGTGTAAGCAGACAAATATAGCAGCAACGCCCTCACACACACACACACACACACACACACACCCTTTTAATGCCCTTTGACCTCCAGTCAGTTTTGACTAGAGTTGTCTGGGCTGTCCTGGGTGGGAGGGGTCAGCGTCAGACAATAGGTCTCCGACAGTCTGGGGGCGTCAGAGGTGACCTTAAAGGGGGAGTCCACTCAATTAGAGAATCCATAAATGTTACACTGGCATCATTAAACTTGGGCTCCCTACCAAACACTTTGATAGACTGAAAGACATTAAACTGTCCCATGAGAATAAAGTTTGCATTGTCTTCATTGTATTATAAGTTTAAAGCAAAGTGAGACCAGAAACTTCTACAATGTCAGTATCTGAACGATGTTTGGTGGTGAAATAATAGCAGTTGAATGTAAATGAATATTTTTTATACATGTACAGGTAGTAGATAAAATATTATTAGGATTAGGGTGATTGTGGTAGTGCTAGTGGTAGTTGTAGGTGTTTATTCTACCTATTATTCCATCGAGTAATCGGATAAGAAATATTTTGCTGTATTAAAGAGCAATAGGAAAAATACAAAAGAGAATATCTGACAGGTCTCGTGTGCGGGTATGGAAGCACATTGCATTCATTGAATAAATAAAAAATCGACACATTACGTCGTAATTACAAGAGCTTATCTCATAATTACGACATAAAATCTTGTAACTACGAGACAAGGTTTCCATTTTTTACCTAATAAAGTGAATGCAATGTGCTTCCATGTGTGCGTCAGTGAGACTGTCACATTAATAGCATGCCTCCTCACTCCCTGCTGCTCAGAGACCATTTCGCCAGAAGGAAACTGTGCGAGCTTCAGATATGAAACTGTAGTTAGCAGCTGTAGCAACTCTTATGCAGCCAACACAAACCCAGGCATCGGGGGCCTTCATCTCATCTTGCAATCATATTGATTTACTTTCAATGCTAATGTTACCTTGTGTTGGGTTGCTCCATGGACTGGATGTGTAGACTGGATGCTCTCTGCTGAGATCATGAAGCAATGACATCGTATTATTGTGGTAGGCTAGTTTGGTTTTACGACAGACGTACTGTACGTAGTTTTTATTTTGTTTCAGCTTGGAATGATCCCACAGTTTTCCAGGTCTGTATCTTCTCCTCATCCCTTGCCATTTTCTCTCTCATCCTCCATTTTGCAATTCTACACCATCTAATCAAATCACCTGTCACAGTGTAAGCGTGTTGTGTGACAGTAATAATCATCTGTGCAAAACACCTGTACATGCGTGGATTAAACAAAGGTTTCATGCAAAGAATACAATGAGTTATTCGAGTTACTCAAGTTCCGTGGAGAATCATTTCAACCCGTTTCAATTAGAGCTTCATGGAAAAGGAGATAGAGTCTGAAGAAGATGCTGCAAAGGTGGCTCATGTTTATTTTCATGATGATTAACAGCATTTGTTGGCTGTTTAAGAAGTCAAAGGCAATCATCTCTTGCACCTAAGACAAAATACAACTAGACATTAATGATAACAACATGTGCCAAATGTTAAAACTGTGTCAAACAGAAACATTGGGAGCAAGTTAAAATTAACCAACAGGGATATATGATGGGCAGATACAACATATGATTCACAGGCAAACTGCAAAGTGTCATGCATCCTGATGTGAACCAACTTTTTAGCAGTGGTGGGGTTTTTTTCTGCTTTAAATTTTTACCGACTGCACGCTTTTTTGACTCACTCTCTGGATCAGAACATTTTGTTATTCATACCATTTTTTTTTTGTATTCCACAAACTTTAATTCATCCTGTTTATTTTTTCAAATTAACAATCCCCTCCCTGCAATAATAATCTTAAACTAATGGCTCCACCATCTCTCATAGATATCTGTATATGACACATAATGTAATTAGCAGTTAAACTTTGGATTTTCTCTGAATGACGCACAGTAATTAGTAGTTTTTATTAGGTTTACTTACTGTAGTATTTGTCACATCATAATGTTATAGCTGTAGACATTTTTAAAGGAAACCTTTTATCAGCAATGACTTTGGCTCTTTATGTTATTTAACTGTTGCCCTCTTAATGACATGGTGTCCTTTCTCTGACCTCTGTGTGTGTGTGTGTGTGTGTCTGTGAGTGTTTTAGTTGATGTCTCCACCCAACTAGCTCACTTCCTTGTTTTCCTTAACACTCACTTTTCCCGTGAATTGATATCTGTGGCAAAACAAACCAAACACAAACCTCTCACCTTTCAAGTCAAATAAACTTTGCACTTCTGTCTAACCTTAGAGGAAAAACAAACTTCACACATACGTGCACACATCCTGGTTGTGATGGTAGGCGCTGTATTTGGTGTAGGTACTGTATGAGCATGAGATGCAGCAGAGCAGATTCTGTGACGTGCACCTCTCGTCCCTCACTGGGATCAGAGGATTTTGACTGAGGAGAGGTCAGAAGCTGTGATTGGAAAGTTATGTCCAGATTGCTACTCCACTGGCCAGTTGGACGGATGTGTGGGATTATGTCAAATCTGCACTGTATTGTTGCATTTTAGTCAAATTACTCCACTCTCATCTGTGATAATAGGTACACACAAACACGCTGACACACACACGCCGCTCTACTTACTTGCATAATGGATTGAAATTTGTCTTTGCGGACATAGAAACAGGTGTTACTTTGTTTAGAATGATTGGAGCCGATTTGGGCCTTGCGTGTGCGTGTGTGAGCGTGTGTGCGTTGCATTTATCTCCTGTCCCATCTAAAAACTCACTGTTATGTAAAATCAACTTGTTTAAAAAAGTAAATTATGTACAGCAGAGATAGTGGAAGAAACACTTTATTGAAACCTAATTTATGTTTGTTTATTCATATCAGAATTAAAAAATGTTACAGGTCATTTTCAATGACCTCCCTCAACACATAAATGACCAAACTTTTTTTGTCAGTATTGAGCTCACATTTCGTTTTTGTCCACTGAATTTTTAGTTCTAAAATTTGCAGGCTCTATGGCTGTTATTCGAACTACAGATTATACTCATGCATTTTCATTTGCCCGCCACCGCAGACACAAAGGTGTGCAGAAGTGGATCAAGATCTCTCTCTCAAAGTTAGACCAAATTCTAATCAAACTGTGAAACTTGGCGGTGCTGATCAAATAAAAACCAAGATTTTGTTGCTGTATTTTCTATTTCTCGCCTCAAACGTTGCCAGAAACACATTTTAGTGCACTGTTTGGCTGTTGTACAAGAATTAGTGAACAAGAAGTGGGTGCAATATTGTTTTCAGTATTGTAAAAACAGATGCTGGAAAAAATTGAGATCGAACGGTAACACAAAGAGGTGATGAAGATGTTGTTCTCGCGCTGCCTGTTTCTCTCCTCAGATGTTTTCGGATACATATTTTAGCTTAATGTGTAACTGTAATCAAGATTGTTTGTTACAAGCCAGCCGCCATATTGTTTCCTGTGTCAAAACAGACAAGCTTGTATTATGTCACCCACAACCCAAGCATTTATTGGTCTGGTGTGCTGCAGTGCGTTCTGGTAGTTGTAGGTTTTCAACCTCTTGAGCAGAAGCGAATGCCACAGCCCCGGTTTCTCTGTTTTCTCTGGTCATGTAGCACCAATTTCAAAAGTATTTGCATCTTTCTACTTTTATGAAAAGACCACATTTGTAGCAGTGAAATTCTTCTCTATGAAGCTGTTTTTGTCCCTTTAACAAAAAGCATCCCTTCCTTCTCTGTTTCATACAATTTTCCACCTCAGAAAAAAATGTCCTGTAGAACAGTGGTTTCCAACTGGTGGGTCACAGTCTAAAAGTGGGTCGCAGGTCCATTCTGAATGGACCGCAGCTGACTCAAATGTGTCAAGTTTTACAAAAACACACTTCATACTTAGGTACAGTGAATTTCTGGCACAGAGCTTTTATTTTGAAGTGCCATTTCTGTAGTTTGGGAGTGAGTAAGTGATAAATGGACAGCTACTTAACAGAGACAGCAAATTAGCTCAATGACATGGCCAAATGCAAGTATTACGCTTAATGTATTAAACTGTGTGGACCTTAAACTGATGACTGAGGAGAAATCTGGGCCCCGTGGCTGGACCAGTTGGAAACCACTGCTATAGACTCATTTTGACTCGAGCCAGTGCTTGTTCTCTTCATCATCCCCTCAACTGTAAATGACTTCACTTCTTCATGCAAACATACTGTCACAAATACAAACATGAATGCACTGCAACATGTACACACACTCCACCATAGAGCACAGTTTATCTGACATCACCCAGTTAAACTAATACTGAGTTGTGACTTATTTATAATCACACAGTGGCAGTATGATAGCTTGATATATGGTATCTGAATTATTTAAATGTGGTTCTAATCATTTTGTTTGGGAAGTTGTACAAATGGTGAAAAAAAATAAACACGCATGTACAATGCTCTAATTCACATGTACACACTCTCACCCTCACAATGGAACCAGTTAATTAGATTTTATTAACATTTATTTTCTGATTTATTTTTCCTTTTGTGTGTTGTTTTTGTTCTTCTATCTTCATATTAACTTCAGAGCTCACACTCCAGGTATTAATTCCACAAATTCAAGGTGCTTTTGCGCCGCTTTGAAGTGTCCCAGTAAATGCGTGTATGTGTGCGGGTGCACGTGTGTGTGTGTGTGTTTAATGTTGCCGATTGTATCTGTGCATGTTGAATTTTCTGATGTTCTGCATTCCTCTCAATGCCTCGACAACAGGCTGAGGTGAATACACACAGAAACTCAAACGCAAACAAAAAGGGAAGAGCATCTTACTCATGCAAATTGTTTTTCCCTTCTTCCTGTTGGTGGATTTATTTGTGAACAAAAGAAAATAAATAGCCTGCTGCTTTATCTGGAGCTGCTATCATAAGAATGCATTCTAACCTGACTCTCCCTCTCCTTCTCAGTTTGTTCCTCGACCAGTACAGAGCCAGCCTGGTTGATGCTATAAGGAGATTACTGCAACCCAACGTAAGTGTGTGTGTGTGTGTGTGTGTGTGTGTTTGCCTCTGTGTGCCCACTGTATATATCTCTGCTTATCCCCTTCGTCTAAATCACCACCCACTCTTCTCAATCATAATTAGGCCTCGCCCAAAACCCTATACACATTAATAGTCTGACAGGATTAATATCATGTAATGCTTTAATGCTTATTATGAGCAACTTGAATGCACCACTCTGATCTCCGTCTCTTTCTCTCCTGCCTCCCCTTAATCATAAATCCGAGGCAACTTCTCCCTTTTGGCCTCGCGATAAGACCCCACGCTGTGACAGCCAAAGCAAATGGGGGGGAAAAAAGCAAAAGGCTGGAAGAGATAGGGTTGAGGTTTCTATTCATCTGAGGGAAGAGGGGTGCGTTTTAAGTACAGAGGCCAGCCTGGTATAGGGAGTATCTGTTTATGAAAAAGAGGTGAAAACAGCACTGGAGGGAGGAAGATAGGGGATAGAAGAAGGAGGAGGAGGAAGAGATGGATGGAAAAGACGGACAGTGAGAAGAGAGAGAAGGCGAAAAAAATTGATTTGTCTTTATTTAAAATCCCAACATGGATCTTGTTTGAAATCTTTTATATATGACAAACTAGAAACATGTAGGTTTTGTTGATTTCAGTTCGACGTCATTAAAGGGCCAGTTCACCCATTTACAAAAAACAAAGCAACAAGAAAAGGCAAAATTTAAAAGCAACCTTTCCTCTCATAAACACTGTGTCTGTGTCTTGGATTAGTCCACAATAGAGCTCTGATCAGGCCCGACTCAAGCCCGATCCACGGCAGCAGTTTTGGGCCTGAACCCTATTGAAACCCCAAATTTCTACTGTTAAAAAAAAACCAAAACCACATTATATTTTATATATTCTGACACATATTTTTAATATCAAAACATTTATCACAAGCTAAGGGCTGCTGTGTCTCCTCACACTACTTCTTCTTATCTTTCTTCAGTTGTTTAAATAGTTGGTCGTCATGCACTGTGGTTCATGGTGATGCAGCGCGCAGATGATGATCTCCACACATCTCTTCCACTGCTGGGGAGGCAAACACTGCCAACTAAGTCGCCTTGTAGCCTCTCTTCCCCCCTCTCGTTTTCCATCCTTCTCTCACACAAGCTGTCTCTCCCTCAGATCTTCACTACATTGCGTCATTGTTCCGTCACTCTCCCACTCCCCCTTCTCTGTGTTTCCCTCTTGATGCGGTCGATTAAAAACACTACTATTTACACATGAGAACAGCCAGTTTAATTGGATAAAACAAATTGGTAAATTGTTGAGAACCCGACCTGATTCAAGCCCAGGATGATAAAAAAATTACAGCCTGGCCCAAACCCTGCAGGTCGAGTCCGGCCCAGTCGAGCCCGGGCTGTGAATCAAAGCTCTAATCCACACACCTCGCTGTGACCTGTTTTCACTACAACTACTTTCTACAGAAGAAATAGTCTCAGTGAAAACTGCTGACCACATGTTCTGTGGATAATCCGGCACAACTGGGCCACTGCTTCTGGGAAGAGATGTTGCTGTTGTATTTCTTAAATGTCAGTTTTAAATGCTGTCAGCACTTCAAATGAATTTCCATTCACTTCCATCTTACTGGGGGTGGAAGCAGAAATCAGCGACAGACATCTCAGAATCTGGGCACATATAACTTAACCTAGCTGCTTAGTTAGACACCACAATTTGGTAAATGAGAAAATATGTTTAGAAAATAGGTGAACTGACCCTTTAAAATCCAGTTTCTTTATTACAGTGGTCACAAATGACAGAGATAACTAGACATACAAAAGGATTATATTATTAATATAGCAGTCAACAGTGACACGCGTTTCCTCAGCTGACATTTCATACAGTGACATGCGCAGAAACACCAACAACCTCAATATATGTCTCGGTTGCAGCTGAAGGCAGAAGCTGCTGTTGTCGAATGACAGACGTGACATCTGGCCATTGTTGTACATCTGTGTGTTAAGTCTCTCTTCATGTCTCTGTCTCTTTAATCCAGTGGAGATAATTCAGGGGCTAATATGATTTGAGTGTCGGCCATCAGACTGTCGCTGCCACAACAAGCTTTGCCAAATATTTAATAATTTGCTAAGCTGATTAAGCAATTAACAAAGCAATTAATTCTCCCATCTAATGGCACTAATTTGTTGTTTCTGACAAAGGTGGTCCATCCGGTGGGCTGGATCCCCTTAATCAGCTGATTAGTGCTGGGAGGAGCTGTTTGTTTGCTTCTGCTGTGTGTTTTTAAAGAGAGAGGGGGATGTGGGGAAAATGCAACTGGATATACTGATGAAAAATCATCCGTCAGGCGTTGTGATCTTGCGTTGTGTCAATGTGCGTTTCGTTGTGTGTATTTGCTGTTTGTGTGAGCATCCGTCTTTGCTCCATTTAATTAAAACAATAATAACATGATCAACATGAAATACAACTGAAAGCTGAAGGATTTCAAAGAAACTTTGAACCTGTTGGTAATCCTCTTAGTATTTGCAGGACGTCTGTGATGCATGTGCACAACTGTCTCTCTGTCTTTCTCACACACACAGACACACACAGTCCTGCACCTCACATACACGAGCAGACAGAAGTCACACCAACACATGTTCATATTATATTTCTGATTTATTATCTCATGTACTCAGTGAAAATCAAAGGAAAGAGAGACATACTGGTAAATAACAGTGTATGTATATGTGTGTGAAAAGCATGTGTGAAGTGGCCCATAACTGTACTGTGCCACTTTATTCACTGTCCAACTCCTCTCGTTCTCCATCCAGGGCACGGCGTTGGTGTTTGCTCCACAGCGAGGTGAAACTCTGAGACTGTTTTGTCAACTGGCCCAGCAGGCCGGACTCTGCGCCGCTCAACACCAGCAGTACGATGCTCAGGTCTGGGATGTTCACTTAAAGGTAAGAAGTATAAACAAGAATAGAAAGACACTCAGACAGTCAGCATGTCTCCAAAACACTGCATCTCGTAAAGTAATTTTGTACAGAGATCACAATATAATCCAAACTAATGCTATCAAAGTCTGCAGACAAGGTGTTCATAGAATCAGTCATATAAATGTTTGTCTACTTTCTCGCCATGAGGAAAGTTTCAACCAAGACAACAGTAGTAACAAAATGTTTTGGTCAAAATTAAAGGATATATTTAAATTATTTTCCATTCCATATTAATACTATACTAACATGCCGTATGTTTGTTCCTCGTGAGGGAGCATTTCTGCTCTGCATGCACAAAATGAGGTCTGCGAGCACAGCGCTGTGACAAGTACGCACTCGACCCTCCCTAAAAGCCCGTTCAGTTCTGCTCAACACTTGCACGATGTCAAAAGTAGCATGATGCGAAAACTTGCATTTTGAGACTGGAGGCGGGGACAGTGACTGGGGTCTCCGCTCCTTTGATTGGTCACTTTGGTCACAGCAGTTTATTTTTGCTGACAGAATCATCAGACAAGATGCCGGAGGAGAAAGAGGTAACTTAACCGAAGAAATTCTACTCTGATTTCTACTTTCCAGACTCTCTCTGGTTTCTCAACCGTCTTTGACTTTGCCTAAATGTGAGGAACACCACCTCTACAATTCCCTAACCAAAATGTTACATATTTGTGTTGACAGCAGTGTCATATATGATTCATGTAGTTTTCAATAGTGCTAGCCATGGATGTAACTCCTGCTAGCTAGCAACTTCTGCAGGGAGTGCTTTCAGCCATTAGCTAATATTACTCTCTCACTTTTTTAAGTGCAAGTGATCAGTCTAGTTGATGTTGTTTTCTTTCTTTAACTTTGTTTTGAGCTCCACAAAATGAGCTCATGGTATGGTAGACTAACGTTAATGTTCCTCTGTCATGTGGACTGTTAAGGTTGGTTTAGAAACCAGAGAGAGTCTGCAAATTAGAAATCAGAACAGAGTATCATTGGTTAAGTTACCAATTTTTCCTCCAACATCTTCTTGTCTGATGATTCTGCGGGCAAAAAGAAACGCTGGTGTTGAAAGTGACCAATCAAAGGAGTGAAGACCCTAATCACTGTCCCCATCTCAAAATGCAACTTTTTGCATCACTCAAGTGTTGAGCAGAACCAAGCGTGTAGGGAGGGTCGAGCACGTTTGTAGGGAGGGTCAAGCATGCGCTGTTCTCGCAGACCTCATTTTGTGCGTGCAGAGCAGAAGTGCTCCCTCGCGAGGATGCTTTTCCACTTGCTGATACTGTTGTGTGTGCGCAGGTTCTGAGACTAATTTAACACACTGCTACTGTGAGCTTAGTTTCCAGAGCTCTTACTTGCTCTCCTCCTGAGAATGGTCTCCATGTAGCGGGGAGAGGCGGGCGACTGCAGGATGGCTAGCTAGCTAATTCTTGTCTCATTGGCATCTGATAAACAGACAGAAAGCGAGAGCAGGATGAGAGGCTAAGGAAATTAGCGCGCAATACACGGCTGTTTTAAAGACTAAAGAAAATAGAAAATCAACAAGTGGTGGTCAATGATGATATAAATCAAAGTATGGGAAAGACTGCAGGGACAGCAACATGCAGCAGCTTAATTTACCTCAAAAATGTATTTTTTTTTATTCAGTCTATTGTATATGTAATGTACATTACAGTAAGTACACAATCAATTGTAATATCAAATAGCAACACTTAAAAAACTGTAATACTAGGGATGCAACGATAATGTGATAACTGATAATTACCTGCTTCTCATGGCCGATAACAGATACGATAATTTCACATTTTTGTGTTTTAAATACACCTCAGGGTAAGAAGGGCTCAGATGTAGTGAGAAAATATGGCTATCACCGTCCCATGATGGACTAGCCTACAGCTACCAAGTAGCAGAGTGATGCGCTATCGATTTACCGCACACATTAACACTCAACTCAGACAAACGGGCAGCTGTGTCTCACACACAAACGCAGCCAGACAGAGACGTGGTCAACACTGGGTTGCCGGGTAAAGATACAAATAATCACTAACTGTAACATCACATGGCTAACAGTTAAGATAAGTTTAACAACAGAGTCAAGCCCTTTAAAAGCTAACAGTAACGGGTGTGTAGATGCTGCCCTTGTTAAGTCAATGAAAGCAGTCTGGCCTCATATTATTAGCTATGATTTTAATTATCGGAATAATGCATAATTATAAAAATGTCCCATTATTGACCGATATTTTATTAGCCCGATATATATCATGCATCCCTAAGCATACATATCAAATTGGCACCCAGGAATCATGATAGTATCTAACTGAGAGATCAGCATATTGTCCCAGGTCTCGCAACTACACTGTAAAAACCAGGGAATCCAGAGTCTGATGAAGCCGCTCATTTTGCTTTACAGAAGCCAACAACATGTGAGTGTTGTATTAAAATAGACGTGGATAAAATGCCAGTTATTACAGTTAAGTTGCTTTTTCAAAATGTGCAGAATCTGTTGCTGCATAATGAAGAAAGCAGCAACAGTCCAGGTCGAGTCATGTGCACTCAGCTTTAATAAAAACTAGCAGATTAGCCTGTCGTTTGATGTTTAGAGACACTTTGTGAGGCACACGGGAGCTAAAACAAGCTGCCTTAACTCGGCACCGTGAGGGAAACAAAGAGAGGGAAGGAGAGAGAGGGACAGAGAAAAGAGAAAAGGAGTGACAGAAAGCACATGAGTAGGCAGTGTTAAAAGAAGTGGTTTCCAGCTGTTAACTCCATTACACACAGCTACAGAAGAACAGGACAGCAAGGAGTGGGCTAAATTGGTGCACACATTCACCTGCACTGGTGGGGCAATTGGACAGACTGGTCATTAAAGTGCCTGTTAAAGTGGCTCAAACCTCAGCGAGGAAAATCTTCCTCCTCTCTCTCTTTACCATTTTTCCTTCACCAAATTTAGTTTTACATTCACTCACATTCTATACTAAAGTGAGTTTTTCAAACTGTACTTTGAGTGAGCACACAATTACAGGTTCAAGACAGGTTTAAGGCTCAGGTCAAGTCGTCCCACTCCACATCTGACACTACCCTGCAGCAAGAGGGTCGCTGGCAACTGTTCTCATGTGATACTGTGAGTCTGTGCAAATCCTGCCTCTTAAAATGTTCGTTAATATACAAACAATTTGAATTAAAAAACATTTTTTGTAGGAAACATAATGCCAGCCAGGTCACATTTTATTTATCAATGTAACAGTGAAACTGTACCCTGACTAAGAATTTTCCTTGTTGACAAATAGTCATCATTTTGGGCCATTAGCCGACTAGTCGCCTGCACGTTTATGATATTAATTTAATTATTAAATGATACATTTTGGGTGGCGCAACACAATGGTTTGAGTTGAAGGTGTGAGAAAGAATATCAGATCAGGACTCTGTATCAAAAGATACTCAATATTAAATAATAACAATATTCAAATAAATGGTATTGGGAGTAGGGACGGGTCCCGAAACCCGGGACTAAATTATCAAAGACCGTAGTATTGATAAGCTCTGATGGTATCGGTTCTTTTATCGGTACTTTTACACATTTTGGTTTAATTCATTATCATCCTGCAGCCTCACCTGCGCTCTGTGCCTGGGCTGACTTCCTACACATCTACACACACACTCACACACACACACACACACACACACACACACACACACACACCTCCTCGACAAGGTGGTCAATGAACAGCTGAGTGGTCGCGGTGGAGACAAAGTGAAGAAAAAAAAAAATTACTCAGCAACTGCACTTGTTACTATAAGTGCAATTAAACCTTAGCGAGTAAGAAGCCAATACTTAATCAATACATGTGTTCAGCAGCATGAACATGTAGACAGTGATATTCAATATGCTCTGCCCACAGTCTCTCATCCACCCTCACTAACGTTATGTCTTACACAAGGATAGCACACTAGTTTGGCTAATAGTATACTGTTACTAATAAGCTTAAATGACAGCTGTCTGTATGTAGACAAACTTAGTTTGACAGTTAATCTTAAAATTGGGCAGATACTTTTAAACTTAGCTACTGGCTGAGACAAACAGCCTCTCCTCCCTCTACCAGTGCTAATGATACCTGCACGCAGTGAATCACATCAGCAGAGAGGGAGCAGGACAGAGGACAGGAGGACTGACTTACAGTGACTAATAAATACCAAACTTCACTCAGTATTGTGAAGTCAGGAATATTATTAGATAGTGAATTTGATGTTGTAAAAATTACTGTTGCTGCTCTAGAAACAACAATTTGTTCTATTTAAAATATTCAATAATCCTGTTCTGATTTTTTTTTTTTTTTAAATTGACACATTTTCTAAAAAGCAATTATTTAGAAATGAAAAAGAACCAATAAGAGTATGGATAAAATCTTAACCCTAATTACAGGCAAAAAATACTTGCTCAGGCCATCCGTACTTTTTGCTGAAGAGCTCACTGGCTAAAAAATCTCATCTAATATAATGAGTTTGTTTGCTTTCCTCACTTTCGTTTCTCTTCTTGTGCACTAAGCTAAACTGCCAATCAGAGCGATCAGAGGGTCTGAAACAAGTTAACATGCTGAATGGGCTGGAAAACAGCTGGCAAGAGCTGAGTAGAGCCAATGGTGACGGACACATCACAAAAACTAGGGGGACAGACGCTCGCGATTGCCCAACACTTACTGACAGCCGAATATCGGCTTGGTGTGTCAGGGCTTTAAGACCACAAAGGACCTGCTCTGTTCGGTGTACACTTACTCATCCACGCTGACATCCTCTAACATGTGTGCAGTACAATAACATCACATTTCATGAACTTAAAAAAATGTTGTCAGTAAGTACAGTTCAGGAAATAATGACATTTCTCAAAAAAGAAACTGGCAAATCAAGTTAGTGGTATATTAATGTATTTTGTGCCGAGTTTTATTTCTACATTTAGTGTGTAACTCCTGGTGAATTGAGGACAAAAT